AAGGCGTGGGGGTGGGTGGCTGGGGTCCTCTAGGACTGGTGACCTGGGCAGTAGGCAGGAACTTGCCAGGGAGGGAAAGGAACCAGCGCTTGAGCTGAGGGAATGGTCTCTACCAAAGCTCGGCAATAGAGAAGATTATGCTGTTCTGGGTTCTGAGCAGCTGGATATGGCTGAAGAGCAGGTGTCTATGGGGAGAGGGCAGGTGGGCTGTGACAGACAATTTTACTCCTTTCTTGGGAAGCTTTGGGCTATGGGTATTTATAAGATGGAGACACCATGCACTCTAGGACCTGAGGTTTAAAGGTGGTACTCAATACATATGGCTCCACTCCCTCTAGACCCCACCAGGAGCAGGGTAAGTTGGGTATTTTCAAGCCTTGCTGAGTCCCTCCCTGGGCTAGCTGTGCTTTATGCCCCTGAGGGTTTCCAGCAAATATGCTACATGCAGCTCCAGCAGGCAGCTGGGATGATAAAATCACCATCCTTGCATGGCGGGGGTTGAGCCATTCAAACGCACAGGCACGTTTAGCGTCTGTGCCTTCTGGGGAAAGGCTCTCCTGGGCCCACTCTCGCTGAACCACTATCACCAGCACCTCCTCCTCCTGACATACTATGTCAGAGGCCTATGGCCTGAGACTCCGTGAGGGAGCCAGTCCTCAGCCTTGGAAGAGTCTCCCACGGGCTTGATGACACCAAGCATTACCCAAGCAATCCCAAATTCTTGGCATATGTGTGGCACTGGGCTCAGGGCTGGGGGACATGGAAGTAACCTTGACCACCTGTAAGCATCCATAATCCAAGAAATCAACAACCATGTTTGTCATAGAGAGGGTACCCAGGCACAGAAGAAAGCCTGCCACTCTGCCTGAAGGAAGCCGGGAAGGGGGCCAAGACTGGACAAAAAACAATGGGAGAGTGGATCTGAAAAGTGACACCAGAACTGAGTCCTAGATCTTCCAATGTGGAGAGGTGGAGCTGCTATGTAGGGAGTAGCAGAGGTGGAGGAGAGTGACCTGTGAGGAGGGGAAAGGCTCACAAAGACAAAGAATTAGCCACAAATTCAGCCATGCAGAGGGGGTTGGTGATCCTAATTTCTTTTGTTCTTTGAACAGGATCCTGATATGTAGCCCAGGCTGGCCTTGAATTTGAAATCCTCCTGTCTCAGTTTCCCAAGTACTGGGATGAGGAGCATGAGCCACCAGACTCAGCTCATTGTCAATCTTAGCTCCATTGGTACGGGGGTATCTAAGGTAGACTTTTAAGGCGAGCTGGAGTCAGAAACCATCTCATGCTACATGTATCTGGGATCTGTCCGTGGCCCATAGTCAGTCCAGGATATGTGTGATGAGCACCAGCCTGACCAGAAACGGAACCATAGACCTGTCCTTTCCCTCTCTGCCTGCTCACATCTATAGTAGGACACGTGTATACAGGAGTCCTGCTGTGAGAAATGGACAGGCCAGAGGAAGGCTGATCTACTTAATGACTTCATTTGGATCCTGTCTTCTCTGGCTAGGAGACGGTCTTTGAAAAACACAAGCAGAAGGACTAGGAGCCTAGAATGGGAGAGATAGCAACAGCAGGCGGGCTCCACATTCTGCCCTCCCACCCCACTCCCCTACCACATGCCACAGGAAACTGAGGCCAGCGGATAAAAAGCCCAGCAGGTAGCAGCCTATCTCTAATCCTGGAGCTTGCCTTCCCAGAAACTATACCACGAATGTGCCCTTTGCCAAGCCCTATCTCTAATACCCTAAAGGGAGGCTTTTTGCTTTTTTGTTGTTTTTTAAAATGAATTGATACATAAAAACACTTAGGGCACCGCCTTGAGATTTAGTATGTGTGGTTGTTACAAGAACAATTTCTACCTACGTCATGTACATTCCATTATCATTGGTTTTTGGGTTTTTTTGTTTTGTTTTGTTTTGTTTTGTTTTGTTTTGTTTTGTTTTTTAAGGCTCCAGCAAATAGAATTAGACCAGAGGGCAAAAGTTCTAGGGAGGCAGGTTTCTTATCAATATAGGAGAGAAAGTTTGTTTCTAACTTCTCCCATGGAGGAATTTTGGGGGATCACAAGCCCCATCATCAGGGGGACCCAGTGATGAGTCAAGCCAAAGCCACATAGCAAAGGCCAGCATAGCTGCCAGTCTGGCTGCCCCCAGTGCTGGCAGTGAATGAGCTGAAACATTCAGCCTGGTTTGGGCTCTGGCACTGTCCTGTACATCAGAGCCAGCTTCTTTGTGTTTTTAGCAATCTCTCGAAAGCTCCAGTCACCATCACTGGGCCATACAGAGTTACATACAGGGTACAGAAGATTTGGGGTTGTGGTGTTTCAAGTGAATTTCCCATGAGCCTAGTGAGGAGACAGTCCTTCCCCAATGTTCAGACTGGCATACAGATTAAGAGAGGAGGTAGTTAGAGGCAATCAGTCCTCAAAGTCAAGTCCCTGGGATGCTTCCCTTCCACATAGAAGCTAAGCTAAGCTAAGATGCTTACCACATCCACAGGCATCTACTCTGTGAACAGGTCAGGGCCATATGAGTGCCAAAACACTACAGGAGACTCCAGGTCCGCCTCATCAGAGAGCCTAGAAACAGGCACAGCCAGACCATAGCCTATCGGCCCACCTTTCCAACATCTCCTCACTGACAAGGTAAGAAATAGAGAACAATCAGTCCCAAGCACTAGACAGCCATCTCTGCTGTGGCTGCCAAGTGTAGCCTTCCAGGGTCTCCAGTGAAACAAGCCGGGGCTCCAGCCAAAGGTAACAGTACCTAGGCTAGCGGAACAGCGCCTGGTGGGCCTCCAGCCTTGAATACCTCACAATCAGCACTGGTCAAGTCGTGCCCACTGCCTCCTTCCTTGCACAGTGGGCCTCTGGGTATGCCAAATGAGCAAGGGGCCTGTTGAGTGACAGGTGCGATGCAGCCAGCTCTGCTCCCTCAGGGGTCCATTTCCTTTTCCAGCCAGCACCAGCATCAGTTAGCAGCTGGCCACACCTCTGTCCCTGCTGTGAGCTGCATCAATAAATACCCTACACCACAGAGGACAACCTCTTTTGGGTTGGATGAAATGAGCAGGTTCAAACACCAGCCACAGAAACAGTATGCGAAGGCAAGGCAGGGACCTCTCCTCCCACTTCTCTGCCATCATCCTGGGGGATACAACAGACATTCACTCAGTCCCTGTCACCCAGAGCCTTGATTTCTTTATCCATCTGCCTGACACCCCTCTGTGGCCACAGAGGCGACCGTCAAGTATGGCTGACACACGAGGAATGACAAGGGAACAAAAGTTCTAAGGGTGACCCACACTGAGGCTGCATTTGCTCCCAGGCGTGTCCAGTCTACAGTGCACGGCCCCCATGTGGCCACATGCAATCAAGGACAGCTGTGAATGCAGCTCCACACAAAACAAAACTTCCTTAACGCATTAACAGGTTATTTTGCCTTTGGTTTTATTTATGTGACTCAATCACATGGTTGTGAAACTTTAACTTTGTAGATGATGAGGTCACTCTGCCAGGACTATACACAGGTTCTAGAGCAGCAGTTCTCAACCTGTGGATCACTGACCCATATAGAGGTCAAATGATCTTTTCACAGGGGTCACCTACAACCATCAGAAAAACACAGATACTTGCATTATGACTCATAACAGTGGAAAAATTATAGTTATGAAGTAGCAACAAAAACAATTTTATGACTGGGGAGTCACAACAACATAAGGAACTGTATTAATGGATCACAGCATTAGGAAGGCTGAGAAAAATTGTTCTAGACTCTACACTGTCTTGCTCATACTGGCCTGTGCTGGACAGTTTTATGTCAACTTGACACAAGCTAAAGTTATCATGAAGAAGGAAACTTCAATTGAGAAAATGCCGCCATAAGATCTGGCTCTAGGAAAGCCTATAGGATATTTTCTTAATTCAGGATTGATGGGCTAGGGCCCTGCCCATTGTGGGTAGTGCCCAGGATGGTGGTCCTGGCTCTATGAGAAAGCAGGTTGGGCAAACCATGGGCAGCAAGTCTGTAAGCAGCACCCTCCATGGCCTCTGCATCAGTTTCTGCTTCCAGGTTCCTGTCCAACTTGAGTTCCTGTCCTGACTTCCTTGATGATGAACTACAATGTGGAAGTGTACACCAAATAAACCCTTTCCTCCCCAACTTGCTTTGTTTCATCACAGCAATAGGAATCCCACACTAGAACAACATGAGGGACATGCCACATGGATAATCCTCAAAATAATACAATGTGTGACAAATCCAAAGACAACAGGCTTCCCCACCAAGCCCTGAGGAGAGCAAGCAACTCAGCAGGACCCCAAGGCACTCATAAATGTCTCCCCACTCTGTGGAAGGGGGCTAAGCCTTTGGCAACCATTGGCATGTCTACAGATGAGTGCCCAAAATCTAAGCTCATTTGCTAGATTGTGGTTCCTGGAGCTGAGCTGGGACCTCAGAGCTGTAAGCACAAATCTACAAGCTACAGTTGTTTGAGCCACACCAGGAAGCCTGACACAACAGGCCTGTGATGAGGTAACTGGATCAGGGTCCAGGAGGGACACTGGATACACAAAGTCACTTATGCCTAAGAACAAAACCCAGCAGGTTCATTACAGGAAGTTATGTCTTCCCAGAAGAAGTACAGAGGACCAGAAAACAAAGACACCAGTGGCCATCTTTAAGTAGCCACAAAGGCTTGGAAGAGAACAGAAATGAGCCATTATACAAGATAAAACCAGTCTAGACTGGAAAACCAGCACCGGGGGCAATGGTAAACCATGTTATTTAGAATACAGCTCAGTTTAAATGGGCCTCTATGAGGGGTAGTGAGGTTCCTGTCCCCTAGAGGCATCCAAACAACAGGCAGATGAATACCACAGGGAAATTCCAAAGCCAGCTGAAGGTGGTCTCAACTGCCAAGATCCTTTCCACTTACGAAAGGTACATCATCTCATGCCAGCCACACTCCCACCAGTCCAGGTACCAACTCACCCACAGGTGTGTCTTCACTGATGAGCAGGTATGTGTCGAAGAAGTGATTGGTGAAGAAAGGTAGTCGGTTCACCTGGCCTGCAAGTCAGAGGACAAGTGCATCAGCCTGGTGGCCCCAGCCAGCTTTATGTATCCTACAAGGTGATGCAGAGTGGGCTGCAGCGGCACTGAATGCACACCCCCTCGGCTTCTCCAGACAGGCAGGCAGGCCACAGTGGCTGCTCCCCCATCGGCACACGCTGCTAAAGCTTTGACCCTCCCCCAGACTTTGCGGGTACCATCCTACTACTGTTTAATATCAACAACGACACATTGAAATATTATTGGGGGGTGCCGGAGAGACGGCTCAATGATTAAGAGTACAGAGGACACAGGTTCAATTCCCAGCACCCACATGGTAGCTCAAAGGTGTCTATAACTCCAGTTCCAGGGGATTTGACACCCTAACACAAACACACATGCAGGAAAAACACCAATTAAAGAAAGAAAGAAATATTATTTGGGATATCTTAGAAAAAAATAAGACATTATTAAAATGAATTCCACCATCTCTTTTTACTTTTCGGTATAGCTCCTGCAAATCTCAAGCTTACACCCATGGGCTCTGGATGGGCTCTGGGTTTCCTGCTGGGCAGTGCAGTTTGAGGTAGAACTTTTGTGGACTCTAGAAGGTCAAGGGCTTGGTTGCTCAAGGTAACTCTGACACCCATAACTGGGCCTGGTGCTTAAAAAGCACCAGAGCACATTTGTCATAGGAAGAATAATAACAATGACAGTTGTCACAGCGCCTACCTATGGATCTGTTTCTTCAGGCTAATCACTCATTTCACCTCACTCTAGTAACAGAAAGGCAGATGTGAAATGAGGCGTAGCTCAGGCTATACCGGTGCCCAGACATCAAAACCTGTCCTATTAACCATGGTGCACTCTGACAGCACCTCTTGTGGTGGAGGCTGGAAAAAGCCAGGTGACATGTATATCCTGGGGGATTAACCACAAAGCCCTAGCAAGTCTCCCCAAAACTGGCCTCTCCAGTTCTCCATTTCCTCCTTCAGTAGGCAGAGAGGGCACTTTCCCCTCAGTCACTAAAAACTGCAGGACCAGGTCAGGTTCCAGGGTGCATTCCCAGCTACAGGAGCTCTTACAGGGAGCTTCATGGGTCTTGGAAGGTGCAGAGGCAGCTCGCCCACCCTCTTTTCTTCTACTCACCTGGGCTCCCTTAAACTCATGGCAGACTACCAGAAGAGTGCGAAACTGGAACAAGGGACAGAGCTGGGAACATACAGAAGCATGGGATCTCTCTTCCTCCTGCTTAGGCAGCCAGACTACACCTGTTTTGGTCCTCAGACACTCTAGACTCACTTCCTGGCCAGGACTGCTGGCTTCTCCACTTCACTTGCTCAGTTTCATGCCTCAGCTCATTTTCATGTCTCTTCTTCCAGGACGCCCTCCCTGAACCACCTCAAATGTACATTTGCGCCTGTGCACATGTCCACGCTCTCAGCAGCAGTCTCGGGAAGAGCTGGTGAAATGGCACCTCGACTTCTTTGCAACCTCCTTGTACCGCATCTAGGCACAAGGCCTTCGCATACCTCAGTTTACTTGTGTGCTCAGTGGCACACAACAGGGACTTACAGCACGGCTAACCAGGGGATTGGATGAGACTACAGAGATAAGTCGTTTGGTGCCATGTTTGACACAGTGAGCACTTAATAAGTGGTAGCTAGTGTTAATTCTGGCATCAAAAAAAGTGCTGTACAGAAGGGAAGGATTCTGAGGCTTGGCCCTGGGTAGCCCAAGAGTGTAATAGTGGGCTAGGATTATAGGTGGAAATTAGTGATGGGGAAAAAAACTTGCCTGAAGCAGCTTGATTTATTTCTAAATTTTCTCTGTAGGACCTCATGGTACCCAGGGATGGGATCTCCACACAGGAAGCTGAGCAGAGACTTTAGAGATGAATACCTGCCACAGGTATTTTCCTAATTAGAATGGATGGGGGGGGCAGTCCATTGTGGGTGGTGTCATCCCTGGGCTGGTGGTCCTATGAGAAAGTGGGCTAAGCAAGCCATGAAGAGCAAGCCAGTAAGCAACATCCTCCATGCCTCTTCTTGAGTTCCTGTCCTGACTTCCTGCAAAGATGGACTATGATCTGGAAGTATAAGCCTCTGAATAACCCTTTCCTCCCCAGCTTGCTTTCTGTCATGGTGTTTTGTCACAGCAACAGAAACCCTGACTAAGACAGAGGAGGGACAGTAGTTGAGTTGTAGAAGGAAAAGGGATTCTGGCTTTAGGATCCAAAGGCATGCCCTCCATCCCAGCCAGGGCCTGCTTCCTTACCTTTGTCCTCAGCACTTTTAGCACCTTTGCCCTCTCCCCATCCACCTCTGTCAGCTGATGTCCTGATTTTTCATAAATGGGCAGGGAGTCCAGTTGTGGGATCAAGTCTTCCAAACCCTGTCCTAGGATGATGTGTGAATGGCAGAGGGCCAGGTCATAAAAGGAGGCCTCTGAGGAGTGGCCACAATACCAAGGACCACGTGCACTGCATGAGTCACAAAGTCAAGCAGAGGCTGGAGGCACAGAGCAAAACTCAGGTTGTCCTTGTGGCTAGGTCCCTTGGCTCATGAGGCTGCAAAGGATAATGGGCTCAGAATCGTGGGCTGGGTAGATGACACATCAGTGGAAGAGCCAGATTTGAATTTGTCAGTCTGGATCCAAGTTTGCCGGCTTCTGAGTGGTAATGGGGGCTCTTTCAGCACTAAGTTCGGACCAGAGAATACCAGAGTCCTCCAGCCCTACCCTGGGAAGAGGAATGAGCAACAGACAAGGGACACAGAGAGATGTTCCAGGCATCACTTCCAAGCCTTAGGACAAAAAGGCCTGACCAACTGCAGAGGGTCACTGCTGTGGGAGCTGCCATGTGGCTCCAGGAACTTTGACAGGCCCCGCTCTGTGCCTGAAGTCCCTCATACCCAGCACCCAGGACACTGGCCAGAAGGGAGTTAGAGAGGACTTGCTTGGGTCTCTATCTAGTCAGAGAGCCCAGAGAGTCTATGGAAAAAAATGGGTGAGGGAAGGGACAGGAGGCCATGGCAGAGACATGACAGACTGAGAGGGTAGAACATTGTTGAGCACCTATCTCACCTCTGCCTCCCAGGGATGGAGAAACAGTTCATTCTGGAGAGCATGGTCCCCAATAGGGGCGGATCATGTGACCTAGTCTGGAAACCACAGAAGGCTAGCTTAAGAAGATGAATGGTAAAAGATAGGGGAAGGCACACATTTTCTAGCCTCCAAGGTCAGGCACTAGGCACTCACCACACTACAGGAGTGATTCTGGACACTTAGCAAGCACAGATGGCAAAGCTAGCCAGTATACAGACAGCTCGCCTATGCTTTGCCACAGAATTTGCTGGGCAGCTTCAGAAGACTTGGTATGCCTCTCTATTTCCTGTGCCCCAATTTGTTCCCACCAGGGAAAGATAAGTGCTGCTAACAAAAGGGTGAGCATCAAGCAAGTGTTCATCCAGTATCCAATGTACCAGTCAGAGGACTTGTTATCACATTTATTCATGGGATCCACCTGCATTGCTCCCAAACTACAAAGAAAGTGCACCCCAGGGAGATTCAGAAGCCTGCCCAGGGGAACCCATGGGCTGAGAGTGTAGTGTGCGTACAGAACACCTGAACAGTCTTTGAGAGCTCAAGGGAGGCAGCTGTCCCTGATCAAGCGGGGACGAACCCAATGAGCAGTTAGTTACACGTGTGGTTTTTAATGGACAGACAGCTGGTGCAACAAAACAGCGAAAGGGCACTAGCATCTAAGCTCAGAGTCCCACGAGAGGCAGAGACAAGTATCCTGATGTCCTAGATGACTTCTGTCATCTAGCAAGCCCAAAGGCTGCCTGCATGGGGCAAACCAGGGTCATCTGATAAAAGAAAAAAACAAAAAATCTGGGGTTGAATGACCCTGGGCACCAGGCTCTTCTCTGTGAAAAGTTCTGAGACTGTGTCCACTCTGTCTCTGAAAGTCTGTGAGCCTGGGCTGTGAGTCCCAAGCAGCTTGGATGGGATTGAGCTCCCCATTGCTAGGGGCATTCCAGTAGGGAATAGGGATGAAGAGAGGAGACCGCCTTCAGGGCAGGATGCTAGCGAAACTCCAGCGGGAGCTAGTGGGAGGCAGCAACATTCCCCAGAGCCCTTCAGCTCCCTGGAGTGAAGCAGTAGACAGGGCCCCATGGGAATGTGCTTGCCTGTGTCGCCAGGCACGTGGTGTCAAAGCCATTCTCTGAGGACAGCTTGGCCCTGGGGGACACTGCATGGCATGCCAGTGGCCCTGGCCTTCCTTCAGGGAAGCCTCCCTGTTCCTTCCTATCTGCTGCCCAGAGGCCAAGACAAGGTGTCCAGGCCTTCTTGGTGGACACTAGTGGCACTAAGGAAGGGGAGGTTCCTACAAGAAGGACAGCTCTGGACTATCACCTGCACTCAGACTCTCCACAGGAATTCCCACCACTTTCCTCACACCCCTGTCCAGGATGCCTTTTCCCCTTCCCCCAGCTATTCTAAAATGACTATTAGTCCTCAAAGGCAAAATAAACAGCTTCTTCTTCTGGTCAGACGGCTCCCACCTGCAACCCAATGACTCCTGTCTTCTGAAGGACTTCTCTAGAACCAGAAATGTCCCTAAGCACCCATCCTGCCTTGCACCTTATTACCTTCAACCCTGCATACTCTTTCCCAACTGGATAGAGCCCTTTGCCTTGAGTCACTGCCTTTCCTTCCTAGTGGTAGCATAACACAGTAGGTACTCAAAACATAGCTATGAAACTGAACAGAATTGTGGCCACTCTCCACAGCCCAGGAGAAGGAAAGTTCATGGTCACAGATCATGGAACCTAAGAATTTCTCAAGACTCCTGCATGGTGCCATGGGATCGGGGCTCTGGGGACAGCCAGTATTTTCAGCCCTGTGCAAGCTGCAGGAGGCGACTGAGGCCTAGAGAGGGAAGTGTGTCTTCAGTCACACGGCAAAACATGGTCTCTGGGGGCCTAGAGCATGAAGTGAGGCTGCTGGCCTCCCAAGCGCTGGCTGGCGTTAGCAAAGAGAAGTGGCACTTACCCCAGGACCCAGACACCAGCATGAGAAGACAGAGCACAGCACAGCAAGTGACAGGGGGGCACCTCATGGCTCCTGGAGATACAAACAAAGAAAACAGGTGAGATGTAAACTCCTAGAACTCCCAGAACTCCGCTTCTGCAGCCCCAGAAGAGCACAAACTGGGAAGGGGAGAAGAGGCAACAGCTCCCGTGACGAGAGCGTCTGGGCCGCCCACCCTCAACCTCGTCCAGGTCTGGATATATTGCAGTGGTCTGAGAGTACTTAGGCTTTGCCAGGACTGATGTGACAGGCAAAGCTTGGAGCAGACACAGAGGGCTTGCTGGGAGCACATTCAGGGCTCAGTGTATGAAAGAGTGGACTGCTGCCTCTGCCCTCTGAACCCATATCCCACAGAGCAGTGCAGTACAGCCAGCTTGGGGATGGGGTCAAGTGTGGTGTGAACCAGAAAGACAGGGCCTGGCCAGCTCACCAAGCCACCCAACCTCCAGCAGCACTCTCCCTCATTCCACTTCCTCAAGTCCATCATATTATCTCCTAACCCAGGAGGGTGAGAGGAAAACTCAGGACATGGTGTCTAAAGAGGCACACAGAGAAACCACACCAAACCTCTGTGGATCCTGGAGCTGAGATCTGGAAAGATTGGGCTCAGTGAGGAAGGCCCTGTCCCTGAAGGAGGCTGGGGGAAGGCCACTCCTTCCCACACATTACTGCAAGGTCATGGTCCCTCCACTTCAGGGACTCAGGATGAAGACCTCCCTGTAGCCTACATCCATCTCTCCACCAAGTGAGTCTGGGAATATGGGACATGGCTGGCACCCATCATTCTTCAGTAAATACACACTGGATATCTTGTTCAGAGGCCCCCATCCCTGGCTCAAGAGGCAGCTGTCAGCCACACAACACCTTACTCAGGGATTTCCACCAGTATGTGTAGTCAATACCAGTACACAAGCAGATGGTTCATCTCTGCCACCTATGACTGACTAGGAGATGGGGACTTGACTGGCCCTTGACAGGACTTTGTGGGGAAACTTCCACATCTCTGGCCAATACACCAATTCAGCCCTGGAAGGGACAGTTTCTCTCTCTCAGCCGAGAGTAGGCAGTGAGGTAACTACCATAGGTATTACAACCAACGATGTACAATGGTCCATGGAGCAGTCTTGTTTTCTCCCTTGTGCGCACTTAGAACACGGTAATTAGATATGTAAGTGGCCATGTGAAGAGGAAGTGCTTCTTAGCTGCACTTCACATGGCCTTGTCTCTCCTCAGCATTTCCACCCCTGTGAGTTCCCATGTTAACAGCCCACCACAGGGGCTCATGACTGAAATGTCACAGAGTGAGCAGGAAACGGAAAGGAGACAACTGCTAGATTGGTAGAAGGGTGTTCAGCTGCGTGAAAGCCACACACTCCCATCTGAAAGTAGTTTCTTTCAGCAGCAGTTGCTAATGGTTCAGTCAAGTGGGTGAAGGACTGAGTCCAGCATGGCCAGAGCTTCTGATTTAGTAAAAAGTCTGAAAGTTGGCTTTTTATATGAATCGGATTCCTGAATATTGGTAGATAATTCGGTTCCTAAGAGGCACTTTGTAAACCAAACATGATCCATCCAACAAGCAGAGTTGGCACTGGCCTGGCGGGCTTCCCATGACTCTCTTTGTTTCTCAGTGTGTCCCTGCCCCTTACTTTCTTGGATCTCTGTGCCTGTTGCTGACCTTTGCAGCAACTTGCAGGCCAGGGGTGTGGTAGAGAGCTTGCCTAGAATCCACTAGTCAGAGGCTGTGGTGTGGCTCAGAGGTACAAGGTCTACCCAGAATCCACCAGTGATAGGCTGAGGGTTTATAACACAGTGGTTCAGCCCTTGCCTAGAATCTTCCAGTAAGGGGACAGGGACGTGGCTCAGTAGTAAAGAGCCTGCCTAGAATTTGTCACTGAGGAGGTAGACCTGGCTCAGTGGTAAAGCACCTAGCTAGCATGTGAAAGGACCTGGCCTTCATATCCAGCTCTGGGGGGAGGGGGAGAACCTTCTTTAAAATTAAATTTTAAAAGTCATTCGTTTTTCTGCCATCGTGACACCCACAGATGACCCTCTAAGCCTATGTGGCTTAGAACTGCCTCCTTTTCTTTAGGAGCTAAAATAGTCTAGCAGGACGTTCGTACAATAGATAGAGAGAGCTGCCACCCTCTGGCACGCATCTGGATTCTTACCCTACAGGCAAGGCTATTGTAGGTTTCCCCTCTGTGTGCCTGTGTCAGGAATCTGCTTTTTGGTGTGGTCCTCCAGCTAGGGCATCCAGGTCAATGAAGCACAAACCTCAAGCATGTATGTCAGCCTTCATCAGATGTCACCAGATGCCCTTCTGGGAATAGGGGCACGAATACACAGTCTCTCCTGCAGTGTGCGGCAAGGTCCAGGTGCCCACCTGCAAGTGATTCCTTTTTTCAAACAGCTGCCAATTGGACGTGTGAAGAACAGCGTGTCATCCTCACTCTCATTTGCATTCCCCTAACTACCAGTGAGGTTGAGCACGGTGCATTTTTCTAAACGTTCGAACCACTTTCCATCTGTTATTGCAGATTATCCTATCAGATCCCAAAGAGAGGCCAGCCAGCATCGAGTACATTATCCCTGATTTACAATTAGAGAAACCAAGGCACAGAGCAATTGAGTGACAATCTGACGCCTTGCGGTGAGTGACTGTCTTTAGGAAGAACGGAAATCTGCCTTACCAAACCAGATGTTAGGAGAATTAAACATCTGTTAGAAACATCACCCAGAAATAGCTGGGGAATTCACTCCACGCTGCTGGGAGCTGCAGGAAGTTTGTGGTGCACACCGGAAGGAAGGAAGGAAGACAAGGAACAGTCATTAAAAGATCCCACCAGCCAGGGCTTTTTTACTGATGTTCCCTTTGCTCAGTCTTCCCAAATACCTCAACAAGAAATTATTCTTGTCTCCATTCTACAGATGATAAAATTGGGACTAGGAAAATTAACCCCAGAGTGAAGAGTCAGGATGGTTTGACACACACCATACTCTGACTCCCTTTCCTTACATGTAGTTTCTGTGTGTGTGTGTGTGTGTGTGTGTGTGTGTGTGTGTGTGTGTGTGTGATAGATGTGTTCACACATGTGTGAGTATGTGGAAGCCAGAATCCAACAACTGGTATCTTTTTCAATCGCTCTCCACTTTACTGTTTGAGACAGGATCTCTCACCGAACCAGGAGCTCCTCCCTGTTGGGCTGCATGCCCCCAGAATTTACTTGTCTTTCCCCCACAGTGCCTCCAACACAGGGATTGCAGGTGCATGCTGCCCCATCCAGCTACTACATGGATACCAGGATTGTGAACTCAGGTCCTCACAGTTCACCCTCTGGACTCTCTTCTCAGACTTGTTCTGGTTTGTTCTTTCAAGATAGACTTGGTCTATAGCTGAAGTTGACCATGAACCCACAAACCTACCTCTGCCTCCAAAGGGCTGAGTTTACAAGGACACATTATGACCCCAAACTGGTTCCCTTACGTATGAGAAGGCAGCCCCTCCCTGCAAGAGCACCTGCGATCAGCAAGGAAGAGTTTCTGTCCAGTAGGAGCATCTGACACAGTTCACAGGCCTGCGTGACACAAGCCCCATCCCACAGGGCCAGATCAAGGTCATTGCAGCATTCGGGGCTCCAACCTACCTCTCAAGATGTCTGTTCATCTCTTTCTCTTCTCAGGTGACCAGACTGGCTCAGTGACCCAGCTGTCAATCCAGGGAGACTGAACACAGCCCACACTGTGAAGGTTTCCATCAGTCTCTATCTCTAGTATGAGATGATGGGCCACATCCTAACCTCATAGCTTCCAGGCAAGGAGCCTGGCTGGAACTGGTCCATACTGGTCCTTGGTGGTCCCTGAAGCCCCAGACCTCTTTCCTCTTTGGCTCTGCATGTTTTGCAGATGAGATGGCCCAAGATCATCGAGGTCACAGGCAGTGTGCAGAGGCAGTGGCCTGACTCGCTAATGGCTGTTTTGATGGATACTGCCTTTGCCTGTGGCAGTGAGTGGCAGGGACCTCCCCAACCTCCAAAAGCCTAACCTTGCAGTGCTCTGAACAGCAGCTGCTACCCAGCCTCCTGGCCCTCCATCTTTTCACCCAGCCCAGCCTGGTGCCTTTCCCTACCACAGGCTGTAGGTTCCCACCCTAGAGACCTGGTCAGTGTCCCCTCTCCTCTCTACAGCAATCCAGAAAACAGACACATCCTTCACACCAGGCTCCTGCCTAGGCCTGCAAGTTGCCAGAAACATACATGCAGGGCTGCAGGCAGCTGCCCCCAAATCTTACAGGTGCCTGGCTTAACAATCCTTTACCAGCACAGGAAACCTTCCAGAAACGTCTCAAACATCTCTACTGCCAAGGAGACACAGAGCTAGGCCCTAAAACATTCTGGCCACCAGTCCTCACGCCAACCTCCCACCAAGCTCTATGTGTGAACATGGGCCAGAACACGGCTGTAGACATGCTAGGTGTCAAATAAGCGGTACATACTGCTACTACCCGGGGACACCAACATGGAGGATCCCAACGTACCCAAGAGAACTACACAGATGCCTGAGACTCGTGATGCTAATGTTCATGTATACGGTATGCATGTTGGGGTTCAGAGAGGTTGTATAACTTGCCTAAGCTCACACAGCTACTAAGTGGTCATGTCTGAAGTTGAACACCATTCTGAAGGCCGGCATAGTCCCTCCCAGTCTCAGACCTCAGATGTCGTGAGCTCAGACATGTCTTTCGTTAAATGGAGGGTAAGTAGGCAAGAATCTGCATCCATTGGACAAGCCAGTGTTTCAGATTTTGATCCCAAAGTCTGGCCCACCAGGGAGACCAAGAAGAGGACTGGCAGAGGGGACACTGTGTATGCCTGTCCTAAAGTGACCTACTATGTACTAGGCTTTGTGCCAGACTCAGAATGCAGGAAAGAACAAGGTCCAGACTCTGCCTGGGGGAAGCTGATGCTCCAGGGGAGGCATCAGCTCAACCAGAGTTGGGGAGGGGGAGGGCTGTGTTGGGAGCAGGGAGAAAGAGA